GGCTGGATTCAGTGTCTGGGTTTTGGTATCACAATGACAGAACCGACACGCAGTCCAGATCCACTGACCTCCACCGCAGATACCACACTCAGTCAGCAGGACATCACATAGAGAAATCACTATTATATGCCTTAAAGATTCTCTATACTGTTTTCTAAAACCAGTTCCAGTCCTTGATTCTGATTGGACAGCAGCTGTGTTTTATTCACGATAAAGAACAGCTATGACCGTTTCATCCGGTTCTGTGCATCACTGAGCAACACCCTTAGCTACATAAACAATCAATAATGTAGTGTCGAAACTGTTCCATGTGTTATGTATTCAGTAAAATGAACTGTTTATTATTTATGTAATGAATAATGAGTGAAGGGGTTGCAGTGACTCGTGTCTAACAACGCCCTTCAGCTGTGACTTATTCACAATACAGCACAGCCTCTTATTGAATGAATGAATGAATGAATGAATGAATGATGAATGAATGCATGATGCTCTTATTGCTTACTTATCACTTTCTATTAATATTACATACTAATACTAAATGCATATTAATAGGATTAATTTAGTATTCATATTATTAATGCTAAAATAAGTATTAAAAGTGTTGAAAGGCTCAAGCATTTTAGACATTTCAATAAAAAATAGTAAATGTATTCAGTAGTAAATTATTGCATTGCTGTGTAATAGTAATTAAATAAATGCCTTTATAACTTTAGTAAGAATCAGTGTAGAATGCTTAGTTGTCATGCCATAAATTTCACATTGCAAAAAAAAACAAGATCCTAAATGGCCTTCACCTTATTTATTTTATTTTAATGAGGATTTATCAAGGATTAATGTAATAGAAATGTTAAAAGTAAAATATCAAAACATGAATGGCAAATTTTCATTATTACTTTATCATTTAATTAAAAACAAATAATAGTTTTAATGCCGACAGATCATGAAAACCATATGTCTGCAGCCATAGTTTTAGAGTACATTAATAATTCAAACATTATTTTTAATTTTCTATTACTTATTTTTTTATCAAAGCAACAAGTTAATGTAAATGATGATTATTTGAATGCTTAGGTTATAATATGTTATCTAATGAGGTCAATTATTTTATTCATTATATATCCAATATTTTTATTATTGATACTTTGTGCCAGTTTCCCAGGAAGTGGCTATTTTATTATCTTGAATGCATGGGATAGAAATAGTGCTTTATTCACAAAAGTTTCTGTGATATTTCTAGTTGAATTCGCAACTTTGGATGTAAACATAGATATTGTTAATATGTTCTTTTAAAACTGTCTCAAAATCTGAAAATATGACGACAAATGTTTGTGGTACACATTGTCAAAATTAAGTACTCATTTTTCGTGAGAAAATAGTAAATATCAGTAGTATACAAAATATTAAAGCAGACGTAGATGAGTTTGTTTCTTCATCAGATTTGGAGAAATGTAGCATTACATGACTTGCTCACCAGTGGATGCTCTGCAGTGAATGGGTGCCGTCAGATTGAGAGTCCAAACAGCTGATAAAAACATCACAATAATCCACAAGTAATCCACACCACTCCAGTCCATCAGTTAACATCTTGTGAAGCCAAAAGCTGCGTGTTTGTAAGAAACAAATCCATCATTGGGATGTTTTAACTTCAAACTTTTGCTTCTGGCTAAAATATGACTCCATAATCCATAAAAACGCTTCATCCAGTTTACTGGTAACATTTACAAATAATGGTTAAATGATTGGTAAAAGGAATTCTCCCCATATGTTTAGATAAGATGAAGTGTTTTGTTGTTGCAGGATTCTGAACACGACGCTCTTCGAGAGCTGGGAGATCATCGGGCCGTACCCGTCCTGGTGGCTCTTCAACTTTCTGCTGGTGGTGCTGCAGGTGCTGCACATCCTCTGGTCCTACCTCATCTCCCGCATCGCCTTCAAAGCCATCATGAGAGGAAAGGTGCGCACAAACCCGCTGTTATTCACTTGCTCTGAGCCACATGTTCAGGAGGTCCACGTTCATGTTGTGTAGTTACACGCGTTTCCTCTCTTTTTATCTTTCTCTCCTGCAGAGCTGGTTTGTCTTTCCCCTCTCTAGCTGCTGGAAGGCTGTTCCCGTCTTTCAGCTTCTGTCCTGATAGAAATCTTTTGCTATTTCTGCTAAACTCGCTCGCTTTAGGGGCTTTCCCTCTCTCTCAGTTTCTTCGGCTGTAAGTCTGCTTTCTTTACTTGATTTTCTGGTTCATTTTGTAGCAACCTGAAATGTGAATTAAACTGAATGTGTTTCAAAGGACTAGTTTACTCCAAAAATGCAATTTCGCTGAACATTTAATCTCCCTCAGGCCATTCAAGATGTAGATGAGTTTGTTTCTTTATCAGCTTTGGAGAAATGTAGCATTACGTCACTTGTTCTCCAATGGATCCTCTACAGTAAATGGGTGCCGTCAGAATGAGAGTCCAAACAGCTGATAAAAACATCACAATAATCCACAAGTAATCCACAACATCAATTAACGTCTTGTGAAGTGAAAAGCTACTTGTTTGTAAGAAACTAACTTCAACTAACTTTTAATGTCAAACCGTCTCTTCTGGCTAAAATATGACCCCATAATCCATAATAATGCTTCCTCCAGTGAAAAAGTTGTCTCGTCTGAATCAGGAGAGACATCTGCATGGATGAAACATTGTTTACAAGCCAAAACCGCTCTAAACTGTCTGAGGATTTTCACTAGAGGAAGCGTTACTATGGATTATGGAGTCATATTTTAGCCAAAAGCAACAATTTGAAGTTAAAACTTCTTAATGATGGATTTGTTTCTTACAAACATGCTGCTTTCACCTCACAAGATGTTAATTGATAGACTGGAGTGGAGTGGATTGTTGTGATGTTTTTATCAGCTGTTTGGGCTCTCATTCTGACGGCACCCATTCACTGCAGAGGAACCATTGGTGAGTAAGTGCTGTAACGCTACATTTCTCCAAATCTGATGAACAAACAAACTCATCTACATCTTTGAGTGGAGGATTTTGCTTTTAAAGCACCCAAGCGCCCTCTAGAGGAAGGCCGCCAACATTTTCCAGCCAGAGAATTGAACCAAAACAGTCCTTTAATTTAAAAAGCAACCATTGGATTGGTCTGCTTATATAAAACCATTAAACAAGTTGATAAAATAATTAAACAATTTTTTAACATACTACATCCAGACCATTCAAAGTACTACAACTAATACCCTAAATGTCGTTCCAGGTGTCCAAAGACGACCGCAGCGACATCGAAAGCAGCTCGGAGGAAGAAACCGAAATGTCACCCAAAGAGCGACTCAAGACGGCTTCATCCCGAGGAGAAAACGGCACCAACGGCCATTTTGGCTCCAAACCCTGGAGCCAGAACCACAACAACTGGTGACGCTCCTTCCACGTGGCCTTACGCACAAAGAACTCATGTCCCAGAAATATCGTGTTGGGACTATTGCTCATTCCCTGTACCTCACTCTAACACCAAAACCGAAAAAACACCAACAAAATCACCCTGTTGTGGGACTTTTGAGACTCGATGACAGAGATTGGGGCATCATTCCGGTGATGATGGGACAGTAATGACATTATGGCCACTATGAGAAGCTTGTGAAAGAGAAAAACGATTATATTAGTGATATTTACATTCCCTCGTTTCCTTGTCTTGGGAGTTGAGAAGATGTTTCTTTTCAACGCTTCGTTTTACTGAAGTCATGGAAGAAGATTCTCTTCAGATTTTAATGGTCAGATGTACTTGAGTGTCCATATACAGTTGCCTTTCTTTTTGTTTTCATTGTTTGTATTGGTAACTGATGTGTTTGTAATTTGTTTCCTGTGCTGTTTTTCATTTAGCTTTTTTATGTTTGGAAACCAAATAAGGTTATTAAAATGAAAGCTGGGCCTTTTTCCTGTAATGAGATACTTTTTTGATTTAATTGGGGAGTGTTTTACCTTCCACTGGAAATCAGGGTGGATTCAATTAAACAAATATGCATAGAAATAAAATATGAAAACTTAAATAATAAGTTTAGAGTTCCCGTGGAATTTTAAAAGTGTAGTTTCCTGTCTTGTAGTCAATTTTGAATTTTTTAAAAATGTAAATTTATATACTGCAGAAAAGTTGGAATTTCCCGATCATAATGAGCATTGTAAATGCTAAATGCAAATAATAATTAAATTAATGTTAAATAATATCTAGGTCCTGAAGCAAAACCAGTTGAGAGCTACTGGTACGTTGAATAAAACAGTTATTTTAATCATATTTATACACTTTATAGTGTTTAATATTTTGAATTTGCTTTTATTTTTATATTTTCCGTTAACTTAAGTTGTAGTAATTGTATGTGCTTTTGTCATTTTGTTTTAAATGTAATTTCTGCTTAGTTTTAATTTATATTTAAGATACAGTATTATTTTAGTACTTCAATCTAAACTTGTTTTCAGTTGGCTGATCGATTTAAATTTTTCATCTAATATTTATGTTTTATTTCAGCTTTATTTAAATGAACAAAAACTAGTGTTGTCAAAAGACCCGGTATTTCGGTACCAAGTCGGTACTAAAAAAATGAAAACGTTACGGTACCAGGTTTTTTTAAGTACCGGTGGTACCGAGTACCCGGTCAACCCGGTTCTTGATGCGCTATCAGAAAGCTATCCTCTTCCAGTGTTGCCAAGTCCGTAGTTTTCCCGCGGAATTGGGCTGCTTAACACTGTTGCTGCGGCGAATACTGAAATTTTGGTACCGTGACAACACTAACAAAAACTATTTAAATAATTTTCACACCTGGAAAAACATGATAAAATCATGTGTTAACAGCTGTGGGAACCCTACAGATCTATAGGACATGCACAAACACTCACGATAGTAGATTTAACAAGGATCATTTAATATATTACAACACATAAGATCTCACTGAACTCCACAAAAAGGCAAATGAACCCTTCGAGGGTCACGAACGCAGGTGGGTTTCTGCTGACAATCTGCTGGGCCACATACTGTCCCACCCGTGTGGCATGATCAGTGTCAGGTTAACTGATTATTTACAGCCCGTGTCTTCAGTCTTTAATAGTTTCTGAAGCCGCGCTCTCATTCTGTGCCGCCAGCTCCAGCTGTTTCTGTCTCTGCATGTATCGCTGAGCCCGCAGGACGCACAGGTATCCGCCGTACACCGTCAACAGCATCATGGAGCCCGAGAAGAGCTTATAACCCGCATCAGCGATGCGCTTCCCACTGAGCATGATGGATCTGTGAAAACCGAGTTGAATTAGTAGCATCTCGGAAAACAGAATGTTTCCCTAATGTTTGCCATTTGTGAGGTGAGGTGGGGGAACCAAATAAGAACGTTCTGCAAACCTAAAAAGAATGTGTTATGTCTGTAAAGGCTGGCTAATCAAACACAAACCTTAAAGGGGTCCTATTATGCTCTTTTACAAAGTCTTGATTTTGTTTTGGGGGTGTACTAACTAGAACATGCTCTCATGCTTGGTGGTTCGAAAAACGCATTATTTTTCACACAATTTACATTATTACAGCACCTCTCTCCCCAGCCTGGCACAAACGGCTCGATTAGTTCCGGCTTTGATGAAGGTCCGCCTTCCGAAAAACAAAATGTGTTGTGATTGGTTAGCTGTCCCAGTGCGCTGTGATTGGCGAACAGCTTAGACGGTGTTTCAGTACTGCCACGCCCCTTGCTCCGTCTTTCAACAAAAGCTTTTGGGTGAACCCGGCACTGTCCTCCCTCGTGTTGTGGAAGCTGTCCTCAGTAAAATGCACAGCACACAATAGCAAATTGGGGTTATAATGCTCAGGAACAGAGTTAAAAAATAAATTGCAACCACTGTTTCCTGACATCATCCGCTTTCGGAAGCCCAAACAAAGACGTTTGGTGTTTCAGGCGGTCGCACACCGGATGAAAAGCGCAGCGTCGTGCCACGTCTTTAAAATTCAAATACATTATTTTCTATGAGTGTAGGCACACCGGCGGCGCCGTTCGGCGTCTGTCCGCGGCGCCCAGCTACGTCGTGTTGTACTTGTAAGAATTGTTCTAAACATGCCGAAAATGTGATGCTACAGCACAGCAGCTCTTCTTCTTCTTGGTTTTCTCTGATGCACTAACTCTGCAGCAGCACTTCTTATTCGTTGTTTCGTCTGATGCACTCACTCAACCAAGCGTTCTAACCACAACCTCGCCCCTCCCCACCCCCCAACCATTAGAATTTCTGTAGGCGGGAATTATTTGTAATGATATTCCAATGAGCCGCTTTGTGACATCACAAACCCCGGAAAACCAACGCTGTAGTCCAAACGAGCCGTTCGCTGTAGTTCTTGAAAAGGGATTTTTTAAAAACAAAATATCTCCCTTTGGAGTGGACTTTGAGATTTGTAACTTTCTAGATCTTTTTTATGCCCAAACATACACACTACACACTGACTAAAATTAAAAAAGTGAAAAAGCATAATAGGACCCCTTTAAAAACTGTCTTGGAAATGACATGAGAACCAAAAACTAACATTTCTAGAACGTTCAGGGAACCAAACAATTGTTAGCATGGATACACACACGTATGTCACGGAGAGGCCTATTTGACGCCTGCATTAACATCTGCAAGACTTATTTTTTCAAGTGTTTGCTCATCTGCAAAACGTCTATGTGACGTCTCCTATCAGATGTCAAATAGACGTTTATTAGATGTCTTTAAGATGTTTATGATTTAGAATGTATGTAAAACTGACATCTAAGAGACGTCTGTCAGATGTTTGTTCACAGCAGATGCTTTCCAGATCAAGTGATCTTTAACATGTGCTATGTCAAAGCTCAAAAATCTGAAAAGATCTGAAATACGAATAATATTTTAAAAAATGTGCCAGTTTTACTAAAGAAAATCTGACAACTGTAATTGTGTAGATTTGTCGCTCTAGATTTAAAATCAAGATTCAAGATCTTTAAATACGTCAAGGAATACAATGGTATTACCATGGCACCATATTCAATAACGATTATAACTTTTGTTCGTGCATGCTAATTGTATTTCTCTTCGGTTTTACAACACATCAGCATGAGTTTGCTTCTCAGCTCTATATCTAAATCACAAAGTCAGAAAACAAGCTTTAGTCAGCTTTCTTATACATAAATATTGTTTTAGAGTCGTTTAATATTACTGCGTTTACCTCAAATATGCCGAATGTGGAGTCTTACCTGTTTAAATTACAATTCAAAGTATGAGGAAATCCAATTCTGTTCTCAATGTCAGGCAAATGGTTTGTGCGCATGCGCAGTTACGTAACGCTATGGCGGGGCAGAAGGGCAAAATGTAGTAAAAACGTTTTCTCTCGTAATTTTCCTGAGAGTTTATAAACTCCATCATCTTAAAGGTAATATTTTACAGCACTGAACCGAATATCCGGGTTTAATGGCTGACTTTTACCTTTATAATGGCTGCCTTTTTTAATTTATAAATGTGTACAATCGATCCGAAATGAGGAACTAGTTTGTTTTATGGCAACGCGCGCCGTCAGGAATTATTTTGTTGTTGGACAGACATGGAGACTCACGTTCCCCATGTGAATGACGAGGAAAACGAAGATCCAGGAGCTGCTCCTTATGGAAACTTCATCAATTATTACACCTTCAACCCGCCAGAGAATCGCCTGAGTCTGATACCAGAAACTCTGCTGGAAGACATCGAACTCGGCTCTGAACGCGTTTTAATACTGGACGTGGGATGTAATTCAGGGGTAAAAATGACAGATTACTCTCATTTCGTGTTTAAATCATCATAGTGTGCTTTTTATTATTAGATATTACGCTTATTAAATAATTTTTTTATTCTTTGTATGCTGTGGTTATCTGTAAACACAATAAAGCTGACTTCCCTTAACATTTAGGCTACCTTTCAGATTTTTTAAAAAACTTATTAGACATATATTACTAACAGTTAGCAGTCTGTGTATATGCATTTGAAGTGTTAAATGTAAAGCCAGTATAAATTAGAATTAATCGAGCAATATCAGATTTCCAGACATGGAAAAGTCATGGAATTTAATAGTATATTTAAAATGTCATGGGAATTAATGTGGTTGATCTTAAAGTTGATAAACTGCTGTTTATGAGACTTCTTTAATTTTGTCATACATATTCAAGAATGAGTGGTTTTAATCACCAAAATGTGTTTTGTATTATTCCCTCTGTTTGTCAGGACTTGTCTGTTGCTCTCTACAAGCATTTATTGCATGAGGAGGCCTCTGGAAGTGACTTTTCTAAAAGAGAAGTGTATCTGCTTGGATTTGACCTGGACCAGGATTTAATCCTTCGCGCGCAAAACTCCAACCCCTTTCCCCAGAATATCCAGTTTGTCCCCCTGGATATCACAGATGATCCAGAGAGCCGGGCAGTGCTAGAGTCCTACTTGGGAAGGTTTGGCTGCCCCCGCTTCCACCTGTGCACCTGTTTTGCGGTGACTATGTGGGTGCATCTGAATCACGGAGACGCAGCGTTTCTGTCTCTCCTCTCCAGACTGGCGTCTCTCTGTGAGTTTCTGCTGCTGGAGGCACAGCCGTGGAAGTGTTACCGCTCCGCTGCGCGCCGGTTACGCAAACTGGGGCGCAGTGACTTTGACCACTTCAAGACCCTTGAGATTCGAGGGGACACGGCTGCGCATGCTAGAGAGCACTTGGAAAAGCGGTGCAGCATGGATCTGGTGCAGAGTTTCGGTAATACAACATGGGACAGAAGTCTTCTGCTCTTTAAAAGACGATGATTTGGAGCAAAACAGTCGGACAGAAGTTTAATCAGTCAAGATCAGTCTACAGCTGACACTTGACTGTAACCCTAGTCTTGTAGACTATGATTCTATTTAGCAACCACAAGAGGGCACTATGTATGCGTTGCCATTTTTATTTTACATGTTTTTTTAGTAACAGTATGTCTAATTGACAGATACAAGTGAGTATTATTAAGAAGAAGAAGAATATGTTTGTCCCCTGGATTATATTTATATTTCTAAATGAACAATTGCAGACAGATGGATATAGTCTCTTTTAGCACATGCTCTAAATGTTTTAATTTAATAAACGCTATACTCCACTGTAGTGTTTCAAATGTCTAGTGTATTTACTGTTTTCTTAGAGCGTTGCGTATAAATAGAATTTAAGTTGCTTTATATACACAATATTTTAACTGCTTATTTTACAAATGAGCAAAAAAGTAAAAAAATATGTACACTGCCAGTCAAAAGTTTTTGAACAGTAAGATTTTTATGTTTTTAAAGAAGTCTCTTCTCCTCACCAAGCCTGCAATCATTTGATCCAAAGTACGGCAAAAACAGCAAAATTCTGAAGTATTTTTTTTACTAATAACCGTTTTCTATTTGAATGTATTTTAAAATGGAAGTTATTTCTGTGATTTCAAAGCTGAATTTTTAGCATCATTACTCCAGTCACATGATCCTTCAGAAATCATTAGCTACTATTCTTATTTTCTGCTCAAAAAACATTTATTATTATTATTATTATGTTTAAAACAGCTGAGTATAATTTTTTCAGGTTTCTTCGATGAATAGAAAGTTCAGAAGAACAACATTTATCTGATATATATATATATAGTTTGTAACAATGTCTTTATGCCATGTCTTTATCATCACTTTTGATCGATTTAAAGCATCCTTGCTAAATAAACATATTAATTTCTATAACTTCTTTACAAATATATATATATATATATATCTATGCAGTGTTGGGGGTAACGCATTACAAGTAACGCGAGTTACGTAATCAGATTACTTTTTTCAAGTAACTAGTAAAGTAACGCATTACTTTTTAATTTACAAGAGAATATCTGAGTTACTTTTTCAAATAAGTAGCGCAAGTTACTTTTTTTTTTTCCAATTTATTGATTGACAGCTCTCCTGTCCCCATGTTGAGAGAAATCAGATGTTACTGAAAACAAACAAGCAAGCCCTGTCCAGATTTAAAAAGTAACATAACGCATTACTTTCCATAAAAAGTAACTAAGTACCGTAATTAGTTACTTTTTTATGGAGTAACGCAATATTGTAATGCATTACTTATAAAAGTAACTTTCCCCAACACTATATATGTGTGTGTGTGTGTGTGTGTGTGGCCTACTAAAATTGGCACACGTTTCCAGACTGAACGTCACAGAGAACTCTTCCCGTGCTCTCAGTCAGAATTCAAACAAAAATTAACAGACGAATAACTTAACGGTCTAACTTAGTGGCTGTTCGCGCTTTCTTATATGTGTAATTATTTGAATATAACGTTTATTGGACACTTCAATTTGAACAAATCAAGTGAAAGAACCAGAAATACATTAAACGAAGATGTTTTGGACGAGGAGAGCTGCTTCTGCGAAATTGTGAAGCTTTGTGGTAAGAAATAATATAATTTCCTTTATTATCATAGTCAAGCTTAATCGAGTTTGTGAATGTTAAGTAATTTGGAGCAATTTAGGTAATGAAAGTAGGTGTATTCTGGCTCCACCATGATGCTTTTCATCACCCAAAGCTCTTCAGGATGTTATTTTGATTAAATTTGGGGTTTGTCTGATTCAAGGTAATGTTAAACCCTCACTAACCATGGTGCGCTGAATAAAACCCCTTCAGACATATATAAACGGCTCCTGTCTTCCTCAAAAATTACTCTAATTCTCATAATTGGGATTACAGTAGAACTGAAACCGCTTCTGTTGAAATATTGCTCAAACAGAAATTATTCCCAAGGCTGTTGTTGGTGAGTTTATGAAGCTTCAAGCTATTGAGAAGAGGGAGCATCAAGGACAATATGAAGAATATCATCATATCATGTTTTACTGTCACAGAGTGCATATTGACTGTCCTATGTGTGTATTTGCCTGTAGCCAAATAACAAATTATTTTGTTACATTTGAACAGGTTTTACAGGAAGAAATGCTCAAATTGCACTGCTGAGATGTTCACTTTGGTGTTATTTTTCAGGCCTTCTCGTTTCTTTCTTGTTGAAAAAGGTAAGTGTTTATTTCTTCTGTATGGTTTGTGCTCTTACAGACATTGACTAAACTTACTTTAGGTCTTTATTCACACCACAAACAATTATGATTTTCAATTATGACTTCAGGACTGTCTGCACTGTAATTTTTTCAAGTGGTGAAATCAGATCTGTTTGTTGAGATGGTGTATCAGGTTGCAGGTATACAAGATATACTGATGTTGCATACACATTGTGTCCAAAATAGTGTTGTCAAACGATTAATCGCGACTAATCGCATTCAAAATAAAAAGGTTTTGTTTACATAAAATTTGTGTGCTGTGTATATTTATTATGTATATATAAATACATGACATACAGTATATATATTGAAAATATTTACATGTGTATATATTTATATTCATATAATTTACATTATATATATATATATATATATAAATATTTTTAATATATAAACATACCATATATTTTTTTAAATATATACATGCATGTGTATTTATATATACATAATAAATATACACAGTACACACAAATTTTATGTAAACAAAACCTTTTTATTTTGGATGTGATTAATCGTTTGACAGCACTAATCTAAAAAATAATAAGTAAATAATCAAATGCAATAGTTCAGACTGAAGGAAAAAAGAAATATATTTTTTAAAAGCGTTAGTTGTATTGCAATCATGTGCAGGCTTGATCCTTTTCAAAAATAAAAATGTTGAATTCTGTAGAATAAATCATTCCATAATTTCATTTTATATAGTCATTCAATTTGTATTTATATTGAGTATATATAGTATTTCAATGAAACACAGGGTCTTTGTTTTTTCAGAAAATTAATTTCAGATTCTTCCCATTGATCCATAGAAAGTCAAAAGAAAACTACTTCTATATTTAATGTTATCTGTCATAGGTATAGTATAGCATTTTTGATCATGGTTAACACTTCAGTGAGTGCTGAATCTGGTGTTGTTTCTGGTTTCAGTAGTCTTGATCAGGATTTTAGATGATGGAGAGCTGTTCTGCTGAAAACCATTCACCCCTTTGGAACCTGTGAAGAAAAACAATAATTCAATAAAACAATAAAAACAATAAGTTTTCAGATTGTGTATGATGGTCACACTGTATGCCTTTTAAAATGCTGGTAATTAACTCAACATGAAATGGGATTTGTGACCCATTTTACTTTTGTAATATGATGAAGAATGTCCTCTTTCACTTTCAGACAAACTGTGAGACTTGAATTTCTACATGGACAATTGATTGGAAGTGGCTGTTTCATAAAGGAATTGACCAGCGGCAAATATTTTTGAGAAGCCTTTTGACCAAGAGGTGTCAAAAATTCAAGAGCATCTCCAC